AAAAAAAACAAAAAAAAAAAAAAAAAAAAAGAAAGGTCTCTTGCTAGGTCAAGGAAAAATGGCCAGAAGTCCATTTCCCGGGGGCCATGCACTGTCCCCACCCCTTTCTAAAGGCAGGGTCTATGTGGTCCAGGTTGCCTAGAACTCAAAGTCCTACCTCAGCCTCCCGATCTCGGGTATGCAAGCACCTGTATCCATCTCCCAGGCTGGTGACTGGGCCAAGGAGGCTGTGGACAAGGACGTTGCTTTGTGCCTCTGTGGCCCAGGAGGGATCCCTGAGTCTCACTGGTAACCAGTGGTAGCTGGGAGCCTGTGGTGCTGAGCGAGGCCTTGCCTTGCCTCGGGTGGGCCAGGCGAACTGTGAGCTCTTGGCCATGGAAGCCCACGCTGGCACAGGCAGGCGCTTAGCACCGGCGGCCCTGTGCTTGTACGGATGCAGCTGTGGCTCCTGACCCCGCGGGCGGTAACAGACCGGGTTCCTCCTGCAGACACCTCATCTGCTCTCACAGCTCCAGCCTGGGTCTCCTGCCCCGTCCCGCCTTCCTGCCGGTCACTGTACATGCCACACACAGCAGGGACTCAAGTCCACTAAGAAGCTAAGAGAACAGCCTTTCCAGTGGGACAGAGCAGTGGACCCGAGGTGCGGGGCAGTGAGTGGCTCTACCGCTGCGTAAGTGGCCATGAACCCTCCTCGGCCTTGCACGGTGGCTGCTGGGCAGGGATGTCCCAGCATTGCGTCTGTCCATACTGTCCTGAGAGCCACACTGCCAGCAGCTAGAGCTGTTCCTGGTGTAGGCGAGGGTGGGTGGTGTGGGCAGGCGGGGCTGATGGTGGTGGAGGACGGAGTGCTCCTCCGGCCTGTGCGATGCTGATGATGTACACCTTTTCCCCTCACAATCTCATGTTTCCTCCTTGCCTCTGGGCGACCACAAAGTGTAATACAAGTGCGGTTAATCTAATTAATCCTGTCGCAGCTCACAGGCTGGCTCTCCAGTGTGAGCACGAGGGCAGCCATTCTGAACAGCACAGGACTCGTACTACGGAAGATCTCTTCCTGGTAATCCAGGGAAACGACGCCGGAAGCAAAGCCCTGCAGATCACTCAGCCTGGTGTCAGCTCTTCCAGGGTGTGAGATAAGGCAGCAGTCATGAGGTCCCCGAGTGAGAACCCCACCTCCTTATTGGCCCATCCAGAGCACCAGTGGGACTCAGAGTGGCCCAGGGTTTTAGTTTGTCGTCTTGGGCAGCCCTGGTCACTGTGGTGAGACACAGCTGGGGAGCTAGAAAACTGTCTCCAGAAAACCCAGACGAAGCATCGCTTCAGGAAGTGACACTGCACCAAGTACTCAAAGAGTGACATGAAACCCTTAGGCAGCCACAGAATGAATTCTTCCTTTCAGAGCTGGAGTAGGAGCCCAGGGCCTCACATGCACAAAGACCCACACCCTAGCCACATAGCTGAATTTTTTAAAACCCAGGCTTGCAGTGTCACTCACTGCAGGGATCGAAGGCACGCAGAAGGGGGCTGGGCCAGCTCCCTGGGTCCCCCACCCCAGCCCAGGTGCCCAGCCCCCATGCCTCAGAAAGCCGAGGACAGCAGAGCACTCCACCCTCCCAAGCCGCTTACCTGCAAGTGAAGGATTTTAGATTCATTATTTCGAAGCATCTCCTTTTGTCTCTCGATTTCAATTTCAAAGCTACAGATCTGATTGTGCAGACTTTGTATGCTCTTGTTTTTTTCTACACTTTCATTCTGCAGCAAGGAAACCTGCAAAGCAAATTTTTCAGTTTAACGAAAAGGTCTGATTTCAACACAAAGACAGTGGCGAAGTCTCCACAGTGCGGGCGGCCGTTCCTGGCGCACTGGAAGGAGCCCCGGGTGGAAAGCAACCCCTGCCCACCCCAGAAAGTGCAGGTGTGGGGTTCGGGGGTCCTGCATCCCATGCTACTCGCCATCTCCCTGCACCCCAGGTTTTTAAAGTGTTTACTGAAAACAAGTAAATTTCATGAAGAGTGGCTTTCAAACCCTGAGCAAGAGACAGTAATAAACACAGCCCCACACCTTGCCTCTCTGAAACACTGCGTGCATAGACATGAAAACAGGCCACACAGAACCATTCCCTCCAGATGACTTGAAGCGCACCAAGAGTCCAGATTTCACTCTGCTGCACTTAAATACCACGTAGAGCTGGGCGTGGTGGTGCACACCTGCAATCCCAGCGCTTGGGAGGCTGAGGCAGAAAAATGATCATGGATTCAAGGCCAGCCTGGGCTACACAGTGAGACCCTGTCCAAAATAACAGCAACAACAACAACCACAACAGCAGAACACAAAAGTGACGTGCATTTTAAAATTGCTGAGAGCAGATCTGGACTGTAGACACCACACAGAGAACACGTGTGGTGTGTCAACCAGCTGGGTTTACCTGGGTAACTGCACGTCTGTCAAAACATCGCAGCACACACACCCAACAGATACACACGGTCACTACTGCCCACTTGGAAAACGCTAGGCAAACTCCTTGTTACCCACACCCTACAGGGCAAGAGGGCCAGCCCCGTGGGAAGTGTGGTGAGCAGAGCTTGTCCCTGTGGCTAGGCCAGCAGCCCACGGGCAGAGATGGGCTGACACCAAACAGGGCCACCTGTCACCCGTCAGGGAAAAGCCACTGCTGACCTCTGCTTCTCAGAAAGCAGCTCCCAAGAGCTGATGGACTGACACCTGGTGGGTGTGTCTGTTTTGAGACAGTCTTTCTACATAGCCCGGCTAGCCTTAAAACTCCAAACCCTCCTGCCTCAGCCTCCCAAGGGTGGGATTCCAAGAGTGTAGCCCCCTGGCTGGCTGATACCCAGTCTTAAAAGGTGCTAGGACGAGGGGCCCAAGGACAGTGCTTCTCAGCTCCCACTCTCGGCCTCCACATGAGAGGGCCTGACCTCCACCAGCAGATGTCTCTGCCCCAACAGCGCTGAGCATCGCACTCACCTCCGACTGGACTCTGCAATGACCCGAGGATCGACCAGTGGTCACAAAGGTGAGTCAGAGGCCACCTCAGGACAGAACAGTGGGTAGGATGATGCCTGATGCTGTCTGATTAGAGAACCGCCGGCCTGAGGATGCGAGAAGCACTCTGGACAATCACGACCTATTCTGCTTTAGGACAGATGTGAATTTACCCAGGCACAGAATGTGCAACGTGTCATGGGAAAAATGTGGCTTCACTTTCCTTCCTAGGATTCCACTCAGCAAAAGTCAGCTTTCCCCCCCGAACACAGGTCTCCAGTATCACGAGTGCCTACAAGGCCAACCTGGGTTCAGTCAGAGCCATGGTGCTGCATCATGACTCTGATTCCTGAAGTCCGTTCACTCATTCCTGATGATAAAGAGGGACCAACTCCCAAACTCCACTCTTATGTCCAAAAGAGATACCATGTGCGCCTATTTTTGACAAAAATCTCAACAATATCTCTAAAAACAGTGACGCTTTCCCTGCAACAAATCAAGTTCTTGAGCATGAGCAGATGCCAACTTAGAGTAAACACGTCTCGCACCCCAAACCCTGGCTCCTTTCTCCTGGGGGCTCCCTTCCTCAGCTGACCTTTACTTTGATGGAAGGAGCCAGCCCTCAGGTGCCTCCCCTGCACGTGGGGTCCAGCAGGCAGGTGCCCAGGAAGTGCCACACACCGAGAGGTCCAACAGGAGATTTTATTAGGGAAGGCAGGTTAGGGAGAGAGGAGAGAGGGAAGAAGAGAACAAAGAAAGGAAGGCCCTTTTATCAGTTTTGGGGTGGGCTATTGCTTATTTATGAGGAGTGGGCTACCTTTAACCTATCACAGGCTAGGTTGTCCTTTATGGGTTTGGTCCTAGAGAAACAGGTTTAACCTCTCCGGACCGCTGTGGCTTTGGGGGGAAGGGAAACTAATGAGTGTAATTTTAAGAGCCAAGAGAATACAGCCTGTGATGGCGGCGTCAGGTCCCTAACAACACACCTGCACAGTCGGGGAGCAGGGTTCCCAGCCTTCCCGACACTCTGTCCAGCCCTTGGCGGCGTGGGCATTCTGCATCTGTGACCCAGGCTTTCCTTAAACGTCACAGGCTAATGTGACAACCCAGATTTTACATCACCACCTCCTTAGCTGCACTGTGTGAAGACCAGAGTATCTGAACATTCTTTTTTTTCTGTCATAATGAACAAAATAACCTGGGAGGCTCTGGCAGCACGATTCCACAATGGGACACACGCTCCTGTCACAGGAGAATGCAAATGTCGCTGTTCCAGAACGCGGCCGGTGGACAAGCAGAGCCACCACAGAACTCAGTTCTAGGATGGAAGGAAGGACTGAAACAAGAAACATGGCATCTAGGAGGCAAGATGTCTTGCATTCATGCCTGTGATTAGAAATGGTAGGATCAGAGTGCATTCTTCCAAAGCAGGAAGAAAGGCTTGAACAGGAAAACCATGACCTCAGGCCAAGTGCTCCCTGCCTGGGGTGCACCGCCTACCCCACTGCACTTGCTCCGTCTCCGCGTCCAGCAGCAAGTTGTTCATGCCAGGCTTCATGAAAATCTTTGCTCTAACATTTTAGGCTCTCTCAAGTACATTTACAATAAGCACTCAAAAGGAACCCATGCGAATCTTTACAAATCTTCAAAAAACTCAAATGCCAGCTCCACCAGCTGCTGGGTTCATCTCAGTACCCTCTCTCCTGAAGTTCTCAGGAGATGGCTGAATTCGAATTTATTTTTATAAATGAGCCACAAAGGGGGTCCTATAACAACACCTCTGTCAATCCTTGGGAGGACTGGAAACGCAGCTGCCAAGCTGAACACAGGACACAGACTCCAGGAAGGAGCCCTAGCAGGAAGCGGCCTGCAAACAGTCCAGGAGGAGCAGCACTGTCAGTGCACCAGCTCTGCAGTGCTCCACCATCCACCCATTGCCCCGGCAACTGGGGAAGGCTTGCCGTGGAGCTGTGCTCCGCCTGCTACCATCAGGGAGGGCAGCTGCCTTTTACAAATCCGTGGAGCGCTGGCCAATCTCTGCTTGAGATCAATGCTAAGAATGTCTTTTTTTTTTTTTTTTTTTTTGGTTTTTTGAGACAGGGTCTCACTGTGTAGTTGAGACTGGCCTGGAACTCTCTATGTAGCCCAGGCTGGTCTCGAACTCACAGCGATCCTCCTGCCTCAGCTTCCTGAGTGCTGGGATTAAAAGTGTGCGCCACTGCGCCCGGCATAAGAATGTCATTTTTGAAAAGGTGCCTCATATTGGCTTGACCACTAAAAGCAACCTTCACTTATGAGACTTCACTTATGAGACAGAAGCGTTCCTCCCTCCACTCTCTGCACTCTGCACACTCTGAGGGGCCGGGGTGCCTCTACCTTCTTCTCCAGTGAGTTGCTCCACTCCTTCAGCAGGTTGACGTGCTGCACAGCCGAGCTAGCTTCATGAGCCTTGATCTGTTGATTTGTCCCCTGCGGGAGCAGAAGCAGGGGCATTAACACAGACTCGCTATGAGGGACACAGCGCAACAGGACACAGCAGCGCACACACGGGGCGATTCATGTACAGTGGGGGCTCTGTGACTGGTCTCGTGAGGGAGACCGCACAGAAGCTGGCCTCACGGCGCCCACCCTTCCTGTCCTCATGCCCTGTGGCTTCTTGTCCCGTTTCACACCGGAATGTCCAGAGAGTCAATCTCAAGCCCATCCTTGTTCCCTTATAAATTCTTTCTTGTTGAAAATGTAAACAGGAAGCATTGGGACGCCTGCAGCTGGACGCCGCGAGGCAGTGCAGCGGGCGGGCTCCGGATCCTTATGATCCACTCAGATCCACTCAGCCCAGACGCAGGTGCGGACCCCACCCCGCTGAGTGCACTCGGAAGGCACACACAGAACATAAACCATCTACAGAGTACACAGATGCAGACCACGTGGGGCTTGAGAGGAAGCGCATGAGACAGCATTTTGTATATTTAAGGAAAGAGTATGAAAATGTGACTTGTTTTGATATTGGAAATTAAGAAGCCAGGGAAAGCATTTTCATGATCTCCAAAACATATACTCTGTACATAGAATATCGTATACACATGTTGAGAAGGCGCTGCCATCAGCATGTGTACACACACAGAATGACGGCCACACCACAGAACGCTGGTCTCCTGGAGACCCCGGCAGGGGAGTCTCACCCTCGGCCTGGAAGCCAGGCTCTCTGTACCGGAGTCGTAACACTGTGCTGGTATCACACAGAATTAGACATGCAATAGTTCACCGGGATATATTTTGCCTTTTAACATATTTTAAAATTCAGATATGCATTTAAATAAAGACTCAGTTCTAATTCATTAGCACCCTCAGACATTGCTGAAAAGGTAACAAAAACTGGATGCAGGTTTGTCACACCACACTGGTGGCAGTGACTCAGTTTCCCTAGATCTGAGGGCTGTGCTCAGTCTGAATCCATGCTGGGGGCTCAAATCGGCACAGGGGCACAGAAAATGCACCTGTGGACACACATGTGGTCCTGACAGCTGTGCCCCCACAGGCCCGGACCAGGTCCGCTCTTGACATTTGCATCGGGTCACGATGTCCCAGGATTTCCCAAGAGCTTGGGTAGGTGTTGCCGTGCTTCGCCCCTCCCTGGCTGGTTCCCCTCAGCCTGGCGAGTACCACGCCTGCCGCATGTGGCTCCCAGCACCCACGCAGCACGGTCCTGCGGTTTTATGACACAGACTGAGTCCAGAGCTCGAAAGTGGAAACGTGAACATGAGAGCTTTCTCTGGCAGGATGTGAGCGGGAAGGACAGATGTTGGATACTGACCTGAAAAACGCAGCCATAGCGCTTAAAACTACAGGTGCTGGGGGCATTGACACACTCTGACAAGTGTGCACTCAACTGCAACGGGAAAGAGACGTGAGTTGTGGCACAAACGTTTGCATGAACATATCAGCACAGAGAGCATCAGGCTGTACTGCTCAGCGTGTTCATCAGCTACACATGTGTGCACACCTCCTGCTGCAGGCCCCAGGGCAGGAAGTATGCAGTGCCACACGTGTACACACACACACACACACACACACACACCAATATACAGAAATACAGTCACCGTAACAGTCCTCAAACTTGTAGTTTCTTTAGAACAAATCATTCAAAATGTGACATGCTGTCTGAAGAGCCAGATTTAAAAAAACAAACAAACGAAAAAAAAAACAAAACAAAAAACGCAAATTGAAATGCACACTTAAAGACTATAAACAAAAATTGCATGAAACACAAAAAATAGCATTTGGGATGCAACTGGGCTACACGCCTAGTACACGCTACATAAAAATAATCTGTCTTCAAAACAAGCTCATATACTGAACTGTCACTTAAAATCCTCAGGATAAATGGAGATGGGTTTTCCTTCCTCTGAAAAGCCTTCTTTCCAGCATGACCAGAAACTCACAGGTCTTCAAAGACCTTTCAGGCCCTTCCAGCAATGTGAATCTTACATTGTCTCCTCTGACAGAAGGGAAATTAGGAGGGACTGAAAGAGACCACTGCTTTGTGCAAAATAATGCCTTGTTTGGCTCTAGCACTGGCCAAGGCAGTTAAATAAAACTGCTATGGTGTTTTTGCAAGAAAGACACCTGGAAAAGCTGTATCTTAGAGGTGGGATCATACATAGGTTACCACAACCACGGCCCTGGACAGTGCTTCACACTGCCCAGAGGTGAAGACAGGGCCAAAGGCCAGGTCTACACTGAGGACACGGGAAGGCAGACTTCAGCTGCCTCTGCCCTGGCCCTGTGCAAAACCAAGCTGGAGCCTGAGTGACAGGAGGCCGGAGGGACCCTCACAGGGCCACTCTTCAAGGCTGGTCTGAGAGGTGGGCAGTGTCATGGAGGCTAAGGGTCAGCAGCCTCAGGTGCTCGCTGGTCTCCTGGACCCTGGAGAAGATCCCAAAGGCACAGACATGTGGAAACCATGGAGACTACTCCTGTAGAAGTCAACCGAAGATTCCAGTCACGATCTTGACGAGCTCATGCTCCTGTAAGAGTCAGGGACGTGCTGGGTCTCATGTGCTTTCAGTCTGCCCCTATGAATTCATGTTGACCCCTTCCCTAAACAGGTTTTATTATCAGTACTCAGAATTCACAGGCACTCTGGAATAGGGGTGAGGGTAACCTATAGCTAATGGCTACTTCCACCAAAACACAAGAGAAATGCAGGTTGAAGGACTTAAAAAAATAACTCAGACACAGAACAGAGGCAGCTTTTCATGGTGATGCAAAGCTCTGAGTGGAGGAGTTTGGAAGGGAGTTGCTAAAACCCTGGAGTTATTTCAATGGTGTGGACACCCGGTATACAATAGCTGTAGCAGGGCTGTCCAACAGTTGTTTACATGCGGCCCTAACTTCTTCCAGGGGCTCAGGCAGGGCCTAGCCTCTGTCAGCAGGAAAAGCTCCCTATCATGGTCCCAGGAGGACCTCGGGCAGGGATGGCAGGCTGTTTCTCTCTCCCAGGCGCACACGGACCCTCTGCTCAGCAGGGACACATGAGGGTGCCTGGCCTGCATCCAGGGTAAGATTTCAGGCTGCTAGAGCAGGCTGAGGTGAGCAAGGGCTGTGGGTCAGGGCTCCAGGAAGACAGAAGCCCCGGGAGGGAGCCTCGGGTAGTTCCTAAGCAGCAACCACGGGCTCTGGGTCAGGGTCACCTAAAAAATGTGAAGCAGCCCTAGAAGTTTCCCATGGGACCTGTGCTGACCAAATGAAGTTAACGCCAAACCTGGCAGTCTTGAAGACAATGCAGTGGGCGTTGGGTGTGGGATGCAGGGTCTCTGGGGCGGCTGAATCCCCACCTGCTGACTCACCTGCTCCACCCCAGCCAGCCTGGGGGGGGGAGTGCACAAGGCATCTCTGGAATGTCTGGAAAGCCTCTCAAAGGGTGATAACCTCCCAGGAACATTTATCTAAAAGCAGCTTATCTTAAAGCACAGAGGTCACCTGCGCTCGCCCCTCAGTCTTCCCATTTTCTCAACTCTCCACGGTATTTTTAGCCCTGAATTTGTAATTTTGTAGGATTTTTTGCTTGCTTCTGACTTCTAAAGCTTTCATGTCATTTTGTTTTGCTGCCCTGCAAAATTGTGAGCTGCAAGAGATTTAGCGGCTAATGGTGGGGAGTGGAGCGTACCCCACACCCCAGACCCCACAGACCCTGACTGCCTGGCCCCGGCCCGGCCGCCATGCCTACCTCACTCCTCAGCAGAGTCTGGACGCTGCACTTGTGAGGGCAGGACACCACCACGCAGGGACACTCGTTGTCTTCATGTTTCTGTGGAGAAAAGAACGTGTGTCCACTGTGAGATGCACTGTTGCCGCCACGCCCTGACCCCATGTGGGGCCTCAGGACAGGAGCTGGGTCCGGTGGCCACCCAGCAGCAGCCCCACAGCCAGGGCTCCAGTGTCTGGCCCAGCACCTGTGCTCTCAGTGGGGCCTGCATGGCACACTTCTCAGGTGCAAGAGACCGGCTCATGCTGCTGATTACAGTCCTGCAGTCGCATCTTCTACCTTCAGTGCCTAAGACAAAGACATGCTTTGGCTTCCCCCTCCCTGAACGCTATGGAGATGGTGGCAACTGTGAAGCACAATGCCAGGGTGTTTGCCAGGCACCTGACCAGGGTGTTTGTCTACAGCACAGGCAAGAACTCTACTGGGAACACAAAACCAAGGTCCCTGGGGTGCACCCGAGTGGGACAAAGGCACAGCCAGAGGGCTGTGTCAGCCAAGCGAGGAGACTGTTGCCAGATGCTTTGGTTCCACCAGCCCCACTCCTGGCCCCAAGACTGCCACTGTCTTGCTTTCCCAGTCTGTCTGATGAGCAGGTCAAGGGTCACTCAGTTGGTATGAAGCGGGTGGTGGCCAGGAGTGGCTGTTGCCCTCCTAGCCCACATTATAGCCTGCATTGGTATAACAACTAGGGGTGCAGGCTGCCCTGCTCCTGTCTCTGAATCCATGGTAGGCCACGCCAGCCAGGCAGCGGGCATTCAGCAGGGAGAGCCTGACCACACGCCTCCCCCCAGGAGCGCTGCCTGGGACATCAGCTGCTGGCCAGGCAGACTCAGAACCTGGGGTCATCAGAGCACTGTACTGGGTACTGAACACTGGGGGTGACTGTGCAGCCTGGAAAAGGCTCCAGACACTGCGGGCCCAGGGCCTTGCATACTGCCCCTCCTGCAGCCAGTAGAGCTGGGGCAGGAGGGAAGGCCAGGGCCGTGCAGCCAGGGCTCGGGGCCAGCAAGTCAGTCTGTGGGTGACACACTGCACCCTGAGAGATACTTCCAACTGCCCCCAATAATCAGACACCAGTCACACTTCCATTTTCACAAGACTGCACAGTCTTACACACATGCCAGTTCCACCAAACCTTGCCCCCATGAAAACCTAGTAGTAAACATACAAAGAGCAGGACCTGCCATTCTTGGCAGTGTACAGAAAAGTGCATTTCTTTTTTTTTTTTTTCCTCCCAGTAGTGGGGACCGAATTCAGTACCTTGCACTTCCCAGGCAGCTGCAGTGCCACTGAGCCAGAGCCCCAGCCCTTGAAGTGCATTTCTGACATTTATTCATCATTCACGTCTCTCCCTGTCACTGGCCTTCTTCAGGAAGCAGAATGGGACACTCTGTCCTCTCCGACACTGCTGATGTCCCACACAGCCTCAGAATGCACCTTTAATTGGAAAGAAGGTCCTACAGGTCCAATGAAGATGGGGCCCCACTGGTTGAGTCTGGACCCTGAACCCAATGACAAGTATTCTCAGAGTAGGCAGGGATTAGTTGGGCACATTGGGCACACAAATGTAATCCTATCACTTTGGGAGGCTGAAGCAGGAGGATCTCAAGTTTGAGCCCAGCATGTGAACCTTAGTGAGATCTTGTTTCAAGAAACAAAACACAAAATTTAAAGGTGCTTGCATTGTGGCTCAGTGCAAAGGCCTTGGGTTCAATCCCTCTTTAAAAACAAAAGGAAAGGCCCCAGGCCAGGACAAAGCCATGTGGACTTGGAGGCAGGGCCTGCAGGGTGACAGTGAGAAGCTAAGGATGTGGGCACCACAGCCACCGAGAAGCAGTGAGGAAGGAGTCTTCTTCCCAAAGCACTCAGGAGGCTTGGCCCTGCCCACACCCAGATCCAGGTTTCTGGACACAGAACAGCAAGAATAAATTCTGTTGTTAAACTAACTCAGGGGGGCTTTGTTACAGCAGCCAAAAGCAAGACCCTCACTGTCTAAAAACCTGTTAGTTTCTGCTGTTCTGTGAGAAACTGCATGTCAGGGGAACCGCCTGGCCCACAACACTGGATACAACCTTGATGCACACACAAGCACATTGTGCAACTGAGGTGGGTGTAGGAAGCCAATTCAGAGCAGGCTGTGACACACCCACCCCGCCTGCTCACCTGCCCACCTCATCCTCTTCCAAGGAGCAACCACCAAACTACAATCCTGAATTCTGTCCCTACTGTCCCTAAAAAAGGCTTCACTGTGTGTGTGAGTGCCCAATGAAATGCTGCCTTCAGCCTGTTTCTGAGCTGGGCTAGGATGGAACCTACTGTGGGCCCCATGCAACTCTGTCATGCACCACCGCCACAGCTTCCTACCTCTGCTCAAGGTGACTGCATTTCCCAGAGCACATAGGCAACAGTTTGCCCGGCATGTGAGGAGAGGGGTATGAACAATCAACCTCCACCACTGCCGGGTCACTTCCCGGGTCAGAGAGAGAGGTGTACTGCGCCCACTGCTCTCTGACCACAGGGTGTGCATCTCCCCTGCCGGGTCCTTACAATCTTGGCTTCTCACAGCTTAAAAGACCAGTTCAAAGGGACAGATCTGAGCCTCTTCATACATGACATCGCAGAACACGGAAACAGGAACATCAGGATGACCTAGGCCCGGAGATCTGCACACACCACACAGCTGCTGCTTTTCAAGATGTACCTAAGGCCTCAGAAGACGAGACCAAGTTTCGGAATAGAAAGACCAAAAGGCCTGTGAATGAAATCATGCCACTGAGACAGGGCCAAGCAGGCCAGGGCCAAGTGACGGACCCCGTCCATGTGTGCAGCAGCTCAGACAGCATCAGGAACCACAAGCAGTGACCAAACCTGTGCGCTCATCAAAAGCACTGCAGACCTAGAGAAGGCAACAGGGGCCCAAAGCCAGACTCTGCGATGTAGCTTCTGAACAGGTCCATGGAAACAACACAGCAGGACTTGGACCCACCTGCTAACTACCATCCAAGCTTGAGCCTGCTGCCTTCCTGTTTTGTCTCCCGTTGCCAAGTTCAAGACCCAGATCAAACCCCTACGCTTCTGCACTAAAGCCCTCTCACCTGCAGGCCTCTAGTCCTTCCTCATGGGTACCAGGCTCTCATGACAGCCCGGCTGTGGCCCATGATTACCTGGGCCTTGGCTGCCTTCCTCACTGGACTGTGACCCTGATGAGAGGTGCACGCTGCGTTAGGGCTCTGAGCCCTGGGCACTGGGTCCAGGCCCGGTGGCCCTCACACACGCCCTGCGACTCCAGGTGCCAGGCCGTGCCCATGGTTCAGTCATGTGTGTTTAACTGACACGCTCTACAATTCCTTCTCAAATGAAAATTAACTGTTGGAGTCTATTCTGCTATTAATTGATTTCTGCAAGAAGCAACGTGTAAGTCTGACACCAATATATGAACACGTATGAGGCCCAGGGCACTGTCTGCCAGGTTGGTGTCTCACCATTAGATGTTAATGACTGGAGGAATTATTCAATTAGGACAAACACTAGCGCTGATGCCCAAAGGGAAAGGCACAGTTCTCTAATGTTCTTCAGAACTGGGGCTGTCTAGAATGCCTGCCAGGAAAGACTTCGCATGGAAAGAGGCTGAGTAACCCGAACTCGGAGAGGGTGGTAGGGCTGGTCTTGCCTCACAGGGAGCTGGGGGACACTTTCCTGACCAGGCCGAGTGGGTCAGAACACTCACTGGGAGCCCTGGCACAAGTCCTGGCTGTGTTCCAGGCCTCTCCCCACCCACCAAGGGTGCCCTGCCTGGCCCTCGGGCAGCACCTGCCACACATACAGCACACCCTCTTGAGATAACTGTGAAGGGAAAACCTTTGCTGCTCTTCTCCCAGAACAGACACCCGCTAAGCGACAGCTCTGTCATGCAGCTGTGAAGACAAGCATCCCTCACAATTCTGAGGCCATTCTCTAGGACAAGTTACAAATTCCACCGTTTCTGAATAATCATTCTTCATTTTTTTGATAATCAATGCAATGGAAAATGTTAATTACATAAATCAAAACAGGGAAAACAAATACAGCTTTACTCTGAAATAAAGTTAGATGAAAATTGCTGTTTAGTCCTATCTTTCTCTTTATTCCCGTCAGAATCAGCATTTAAGGCACGATTATGCAGAGCAGCAGGCGGGGCTGGCGGGCCGCACCTGCAATGTGATCATCGGGACCTGACTTTTGCAGTGGGTGCACGTGGCCTCACGGTACTTGCAGGCCTTTTCCACGTGATCTCTCAGGTCTCTTCTCAGCACCTTTTCCTTGCAGTCAGCTCGCAAGCAGGGAAGCTCCTCGAACTGGCAGTCGTTCTTCAGGTGCACCTGTGAAACACACCATCCCAAGCTCTGCACCAGCAAAATAAACCCAACAGAAGTTCCGGATTTGAACTTGGATGCAGTGAAACCCTACAGACACTGGACCGGATACCCATGACGAGGGCACAGGATGCACCCCTGGTCCAGGGTCACCAAACTACACTACTGTCAGGATGGAATCAGCTCCTCCTCTGAGGAGAAGGATGCAGGGGCATCTGCTAAGGATTTCGTTTTGTTCCAATTCAAGTACCTTCCCAGCATAAAACATTCCACGAAATTTCATGGCAAAAGAGGGTTTAACGTGCCTTCAAGAATTAAACTCCAGCTGAGATGCCCTCTGATCTGTCAAGGGTGGGCCCTAATAACTGCCCACAGTGTCACGAAATGGCACCGCATGCCCGGGGAACTCTGTGGGCCCAGGGCAGGTGGCTCGAAGGTGCCAGGCTCTCCTGGATGTGCAAGGGGCTGCAGGTAGGCACCCGGACTTACCAGCAGGTGCCCAAGCGTGAGCTGTTCTGCACAGCCCCGGCCTTCGTTCCGACAACAGATCTGGAGGGCCAGGATCTCTCTCTTGCAGCAATTATCCTTAAATACCTGAAATTGAGAGATGGGGCTTCAGGGGATTAACACTTCTCCATTTCCACATACCGCTGTTCTGGTCACTGTAAAACCACTTAAAAAATCAAGAGAGCAATTCTGGAGTGGGCCTCACGAGCACTAAGGACCATTTTAATTTCCACGAGCTGGAGGAAGCACAATGGCACTCATATTGCCGTGCTGGATGAGCCAGGAGAAAACGAATCACCCTGGACTGCTAATGACCAAGCAGAAGCTACCAGGCTTTCCAGGAACTGATGGACACTGCAGAGGTGGCAAGCAGCACAAGGGAGGCGCGGGGCGGGCGGGACGCACCTCCACCAGGGGACCCTGCAGCCCACAGTCGCCTGCTAGTGGATGGGGCCCGGGGCTGGGACAATCTGTCACGTTTCTTTTGGCTTCACCAAAAAGGAAGCTTTTAAATAAGGATCACAAAGATTGAGCTAATACTGCAATATTTCTCTATAAAAATGAAAACCTGCTTGCCTTTCTCTAACAAGTACTCCACTCTTTCCAGCAACACAAGGCAGCACTTATCCTGGGGCGATTCCAAGAACACCACCATCAGCACCATGCGGGAAAACCAGCCCTTAATCTGCTTTCCAGCCCCACAGGCAAAGGCACAGAACCCACAGCTGCCAAGAGTTAAAAATAAAATAATCTGGAGTCGAGTTTAAGTCTTTACAAACACAGTGACTTTAAAAGTGATGAATTAAGGTACAAAGACAACAAAACAGCTATTTTAATGAGTAAGAGTCATGCTTCCTTTCTGCGCCGCTAAATTTCTTCAATCGTTTGAGTTGAGCCTCACAGGCAAAATGACACTGATGGACAATAGGGGAACAACACGCACTCCAGGCACAGTGCCAGAAAGCCAAAGAGCCCTCAGATATTTGCTCCAAGTCCCTGGTCCAAGTGAGGGACCTGGGAGACGTGGGGCTCGCTCTGTCCCCAAGGACCCATGGCTTTTAATGATTCTCCAACAAACCTAGCTGGTCTTCCTCAGCTAACAGTGCCATCAAAGACAGAGACAACTGGAGACAAAGAAGCAGAGACTAAAACCCACCTTTGCCTGTGGGCTCACTACCTGACACACGTGACCAACCCTCAGTCACTAAGAGAAGGGCCAGGCTGCTACGCAGCAGCGCAGAAGACGGGCCACCTCCAGGACAGCGCCCGCCCCACCCTTGTCCCCACAACAGGGCACCACACCCTGATGGCCAGCCAATGATCCAGGGTACAAGGTAATGACCCCCATTAAAAACCTGCCAGGTTCATTAATCAAAACGGTGGAAGCACACACATTTGTTTTGGTACTGTCAACTGAACTCAGGACTTGGCGGTTGCGAGGCAGGCTGGGCACCACTGAGCTACATCCCCGGCCCTAACACACATTTTTATTGATATTTAAGTACTTTAAGAATGAGCTGTTTCAAAATACAAATGAGCCTGGCAGGGCTGAGCGGTGAGTGGATCACTGCCTGTCAGCCATGGCATAAGCAGGAACCAGTCCCTGACAGGCCTGGCGAGCCTCAGGGGGATCCCATGTGTGCAGCGACACCATGACTGTGGGGCACGACCCTGGGAGCGTGACAGGTGCCAGTGTCAGTGCTTCAGACCAGCACAGCCTGGAGGTCATGCCCGGCTGGGAGTCAGCCGTAAACTGTGCGGGACAGAGACCCAGGAGGACAGTGGTGGCCAGTGGCCTGGTGCAGATGGCCCAGCCCTGACACCCCTCGGCACTTCACCTGCACCATTCCCTCCCTCCATGAACCCTGAGGAGAGTGTCTAGGGCACAAGAGCACCCTCCGCGCAGAGGCCCGCGGGACAGCGGAGCACGATGAATACCTTCTCCTTGACGATGCCTTCTTGACACGCTGTGCACTTGGGGCTCGAGGAGCTGTGGGAGATACAGACACCACGTTAGAGTAGAGCAAGCCAGGTCGGCACAGGCAGAGGGGCGGGTGCCCTGGCAACAGGGAGCTGTGGGAGGAAAGGGGGAGATACCCTCCGATGGCAGCTTTTCAGATGGAAGCCACAGGGTCCACAGCTGAGTCCAGCCCTTCGGTGAACATAGGGGTGCGCAAGCCCTGTGGAGGGGCCCTCGGAGCGGCACCCGCAGGCTGAGGCCCCCTGCTCACTGGCTTCGCTCAGCCCCGACCCCAGCAAGCTGGTGGTACCGTGAGTGGAATGGCCAAAGCCAAAGCTTCCCTGCCTGGGCCGCTGCTAGGAACACGGGTGCTGTGCCTGCTGAGTACCCCCAGCTGCTGTCCCTCCCCGTGGGATGGGCAGAGTAGGCTGTGTGGGGTCTCTGGGTGAGAGCACTGAGGGAACACAGTGTGGGGCAAAGTCGGGTGTCGGCAGGGGCCAGTGAGCTGCAGGGCTTGGGGATCCAGCTAGGAGTGGCTGCTAGGCCGCACTGCTGGGCCATGTGCCCTGAATGCAGTGACCACCACATCCAGTACAAGGCCTGGCAAATAAACACTCAGTACCTGCCGACAACCCAGCTGCTTCACAGCCAGGGTTGTTCTCTCTGAGAGTCTCCCTAGGTAGTTCAGGCTGGCCTAGATCTTGAGGTGATTCTCCTGCCTCAGCCTCCTGAGTGCAGTGCTGGGATTACAGGTGTGTACCACACCTGGCCAAAGTGCTGCTTCTGCCACAAACTCCAGCCTGTCTCCATGGTGCCCCAATGTCATCTGTGTCACCTACCGTGTGGCATGCAGCTGGGTCTGCAGGGAAGGGGTTCCTGCCGCTGTCCTCACTGCCCACCCCTCCTGCAGCAGAGGCTGGCACTTGGCCTGAAGTCCCAGCAGCAGATGGGAACACCGGGCCCAGAGGGCGGAGAACGTGAGGCTCACTCGGCAGGCGGGTGGCAGGTGCAGCAGCCTCAGTGACGATAGGCCTGGGGCCAGGGACTCCTGGCAAGGCCCAGCAACCCACCGTGCCGCCTCCAGTCACTCCAGGAGTGCGGCCAGGGCACCCACCTGAGCAGGGCAGCCATGCAGCTCTCGCAGAAGCGGTGTCCACACTCGGTCTGCTTTGGGTTGCACAGCACCAGGCGGCACTTCTCACACTTGTACTTGTCCTCCACAGCCTTCACAAACTTCTCCTTGTAGCCTCCTTGCTCGGGGACAAACACAGAGCCCACACCGCGGTCAGGCTGAAGCTTCAGCAGCGGGTTGGTGTGCAGCGTGCTGGCTGAGTCCATCTTTTTACTCGGCTCCATTTACGATGGAGGAACTCTGCCAGTGGGGAGAAAACCTCAGTAAGCAAGGGCCACCCTCGTCCCGTGCAAGGGGGTCACAAACAGCCACACCTGGAAAGCGCGCTGTCCCTCAGCCTAGCCCAGCACCTGAGACGCAGGAGGACTAGCCGGCCCTTGTCCCTCTGTCCTACCTTACCAGACAGCAATGCCACTGGGAGCAGCCAGCACGCTCTGCAAAAGGCTCGCACGCATAATGTCGGGCCCCAGACTCCACACACCACGCGGAACTCCCGCCAGAGTGGCAGCCGCCCTCAGCCACTTCCACTTTCCTCCCCGATTCCTGCGGCCCCACCACACATGGCAGGCAGGACACAGCCTCACCCTGTTCTTGAGAGGCCCTCAGCGTGAGTCTGCCTCATCACTGTTCTCTGAGCCTGAATCACCCTGACTCGGCCTTCTGCTCTGGGCCGCTCTGTTCCTCCCACCTGCAAGCCCCCCACCAAGGATAGCAAGAACCCCTAAGACAGCCATAGGGGTCCCAGCTGAGACCCAGAGGCCAAGCAGCGAGGACCATGTCAGAACATAGCTGGGGGTTGAGGGACCCAAGTGTGCAGCGTGCACACACTGCCCAAGTAAGACCCGCTGGTCTGCGCAATCACTAAAACATAAAGCAGCTGAGGGGTCCCTGAGGAGGTGCTGCTTGTGGTATCACTGTCCCAACATCTGCAGCACGTGTGGTGGGACAACACCGGCGTTTCTTCCCGTCCTCTGGGTCCCAGACAGTGAGCGTGCACTGATGTGGGGGAATCTGGACACTGGGCGGTGTTGCAGTGGCCCTGAGCTCTGGAACTTTCCTGGGAGCCCACACCCTTGGCTGCAGTGTGCCACTGCCAAAGGAACAGGAAGGGAGCCTGTGAGGGAAAAGAGTCCTGTGCGGCCTCATACCGTGGGGTTCCTACCGTGGGGACAGTCTGCTAAATGGACTGAGGACATTCCTCTCAAATCTCCACCTCCCTCAAAAATGCCCGAACTATCTGTGTTTGCTACTTAAAAAGATATGAAGCCAGGTCTGGGGACCCATGCCTGTAACCCCAGCCACTTGGAGAGCAGAGGCATTAGAATACAAGTTTGAGGACAGGCTGGGCAGCTTAATGAGACTATAACTCAAAATAAAAAATTTTGGGGTCTGGGTGTGATGGTGCACACCTGTAATCTCTGTACTCGGGAGGCTGAGGCAGGAGGATGGCTGTGAGTTCATGGCCAGCCTGGGTTACAATAGTGAGTTCAAGGCCAGCCTGAACTACACAGTGAGACCCTGTCTCAAAAGACCAAATAAATAAATAAACAAACAAATGTATACATAATTTTTAGGGGCTGGACTGTACCTCTGCAAGGGCTTGTGCAGGACTTGGGAGGCTTGGGTTCAATCCCCAGGAATGCAAAAAGGGGACCAAACTCCCTGCTCCTGAGAGCCCGGTTCCTATCCCAGGCTCTGCCCTTCTCTGCAGGGTGTAAGACTTCGAGCTAGGGCCTCCGGGTACCCCAGATGCACAGGGAAGCCCCCAGGGGCTGGGCACTGGCCCCTTGATCCCCTGGCCTGGTCCTTACACTGCTTCTCTCTGCTTCCTTCTGGGGTTCAAGAAGAGCTCTCCATGGCCAGGGCTGTGCAACCTCCCACTGGCACAGAATGTGGGGCAGACTCGTGAGCTTGTGTTCCAGACACACTTGGAGTAGAGTCACTGAAACAGACATCGCCATGGCAAAGTGAGGGAGCTTGGTGTGAAATCTGCTCATGTGAAAACAGCAGCTTTTCAAGGCGACTCCGAGTGGCAGTGACTGCTCACAAACTTGCCTTCAACTCATCCATGACCATGCCGGGCAGGAAGGACCAGGGTGTCCAGTGCTGGTTAGTGAGAGCTGGCCAGGGGCCCTGTGTTGCCCCTGCCTGCCTGGCACCCTCAATGCCCTTGTCTGCAGCCCACCTGGTCCCTGGCACACCCGTCTTCTCCCTGGAGGAAGGCAGGCCCAGGCTGGGGTCTGCGCTGCTCGCTGACCCACGGAGCTCAGGCACAGGGATAGACAGGGAAAAGGTGCCTGGAGTGCATATGGACTGACGGGCAGATGTGGGCCATGTGGACCCCATCACTGCTGTGGCACCTGATGGCACCAGAACACTGCCTCGCGGCTCAGCGCCCTGCAGAGATCTGTGCATCCGTGTGCTTCTCTCCAGAGTGTTCAATCAAGAGTTTGCGATGAGAAACCTGGTTTTGTGGGTAAATTCCTATCTGAAATACAACCCAGCTAGTGATGAACAACACACTGCCTGTTCCTATAAGCTAGCATGTCACAAGCTATTTATATAAACAAGTGAAGAGTGTAGTCTCAGGGCTTGATAGAATGCTGAAAAATGGTGACAAGGTGTAGAAGATACTCCAAAAACACAAATTAAAAAGCTCACAGCCCTGCATCCAAGGGCACAGGAAGCTGGAAGCCAGCAGGTTGGCCAGGACCCACATCCGTGCTAGGGGACATCGCCAAGGGCATCTCTGCACAGCCGCCAGGTCTCTTACAGCCCTGCCTGGTCCCCAAGGTAGTCGGAGAGGGGGGAAGAGGCCTGGGCAGCACACAGGCAGAGCATGGCCCTCCTCGGGGAGATACCCTTCAGGGGCTAGAAGTGCAGGACACCACCTAGACACCAGCACATCCTCCAGAATCAGGAGCAGGATGAAGATGTCCTCTGACCACACACATATGGCACACAGTTCTTGGGATTTTAGCTGAAGCAATTAGGAAAGAATGACAAAGATGAGGGTCCAGACAGGAGAAGTCAATCGTCTTTGTGTGCAGAGGGCAGGGTCCTACACTTAGAAGGCCCTACTGACTGCACCAGGAGACTTTTACAGCTGACAAATAAGTTCAGGTAATAAAAACATAAAAAAATCAGTATCTTTACATCAATAATGGACTAGGTAAAAAAGAAATTATGAAAACAATTCCATTCACAAGAGCACATGTGCGCGCACACACACAAACACACATACCCTAGGAATCAATCTAAACAAAGAAGTAGAAGACCTCTATAATGAAAATTTCAAAAACTGAAGAAGACAGCAGAAAATGGAAAGATCCCATGTTCAATAATTGCCAGGGCTGGGGATTTAGCTCAGTGGCACCATGCCTGTCTTGCAAGCACAAGGTCCCGAGTTTGATCCCCAGTATTGAAAAAAGAAAAATAAAAAAAAATGGGCAGGGTCCTACACTTAGAAGGCCCTACTGACTGCACCAGGAGACTTTTACAGCTGACAAATAAGTTCAGGTAATAAAAACATAAAAAAATCAGTATCTTTACATCAATAATGGACTAGGTAAAAAAGAAATTATGAAAACAATTCCATTCACAAGAGCACATGTGCGCGCACACACACAAACACACATACCCTAGGAATCAATCTAAACAAAGAAGTAGAAGACCTCTATAATGAAAATTTCAAAAACTGAAGAAGACAGCAGAAAATGGAAAGATCCCATGTTCAATAATTGCCAGGGCTGGGGATTTAGCTCAGTGGCACCATGCCTGTCTTGCAAGCACAAGGTCCCGAGTTTGATCCCCAGTATTGAAAAAAGAAAAAAATAACAACAACAACAACAACAAAACCAATGACCTTCCTCATGGAACTAGACAAAACAGTCCTAAAATTCTATGGCAACACAAAAGACTCAGAATAGCCAAAGCAGTCCTAAGCAACAATAGCAAGGCTGGAGGCAAAGCAGTCAGTTTTCAGATTACACCCCAGAGCCACAGTAACAAAAACAGCATGGTCCTGGCACAAAAATAGTCACGCAGACCAATGGGACAGATGCAAAGAAACCCACGCAGCTGTGGCCATCTGACTCTGGACAAAGGAGACAAAATAGATGTTGGAGAGAAGACAGCTGCTTGAACAAACTTGCTAGAAAAGCTGGACATCTCCAGATCAGCAGATTCCTCTCTCCCACCCTGTACAGTTCAATTCAACACGAACCACACACTTTGGTTTTAGCCCGGAAACTCTGAAATTGCTGTAAGGAAACAGAGGAAACACTTGAAGCCATAGACAGGCGAAGACTTCCTGGATAGAACAATTGGACTCCAAAAGCACAGGAAATAATAGCAAGAATCAACAAGTGAGACAACAGCAAACTAAAAAGCACCTGCACAGCTAAGGGAACAGCTAATGTAGGGACAGGTGAAGCAGTGTGGGCAACCCTATGCACATGTGCTGCAGCGGGCCGCATGCACCACTGAGAACTCTACAAGGTTCACCATCAGCGGGCTACAGGATGGGAGAAAGTCTGTCAGCACTTTGCCAATACAAGATTAAAATATAAAACACATAAAGAGCTCAAAAAAAGTAACACCAAAAAATCAAACAGCCTGATCGTACAGGCTGAATGAACTGAAGAAGTACAAATGGCCAAAAGTAGTGGGGGGCAGAGTTCAACATCTCTGGCCATTAGAAAAAATGAAAATCAAAATGACACTGAGGGGCCAGGGATTTATTATCTCAGTGGTGCTGCAGCCTGCCTCACAACACAAGGTCCTGAGTTCGATCCCTGGTACCAAAAAAAAAAGACACTGAGCTTCCATCTCAGCCCAGTCAGAATGGCCATCATCAATACAAAAATCAGGAGACACTGGCGAGGCTGTGGGGAAACAGCAGCCCTTCCACACTGCTGGTGGAAATGTAAGTTAGTGCAGCTACTGTGGAAATCAGTGAGGAAAGTGAACAGCTCAGAGGCGTCTGTGCGCTTGCTGTGTTGTACGACCCTGATGTTCATCGTGCACCCGTGACGCCATCCCGCCCGTAGCTGCCTGCCTGTGCTGTCTGGATTCAGGTGCTCTGTGGGTTTTCTGTGCCACCAACCAGAATCCTTTTGTTTGACTTAGTCGTAGCCTAAGGTTTTCAGAGTTCATCCCTGGACCAGCGAGTCACAGCTTCCTCCTTCTTTAGGGCTGGATAACATTCCACCCTGCACAGATCACACTTTACTTACCCATCCCCCAGTGGACGCTTTGGTGCATCCCACTGTGGCTGCTCTGGAGAGTGCTGCTGTGGAAGTGTGTGCATATGTGTTTTAAGTGCCTTCTCCAGTTCTTTGGGGTCTGTGCCTTCAGAGTGGTGCCTGTTACTGTGTTATTGTGAAGTGTACATTTGATCCTAATCCTCATTGCTAGCCTGGGACTCCTGAAATCCGTGCAGTGTCTGAGGTGATGGTGACTTCATTGCTAATGAATTGACTGAGGACTGGCAGCCCTTTTGTGTCTCAGGGTGAGGCTGGTTACTCAAAAGGGGCTGGGATGTAGCTCAGCAGTGCCACCGCCTGCCTCACAAGCACAGTTTAACCTCCAGTACCTAAATAAATAAATAAATAAATAAATAAATAAATAGGTTAATTTTACATGATGTGAATTTCAATTTTAAAAACTGTAGTTATAAAGAATTCCCCATCGCCATTTCACCACCACCCAAAGACAGAATGACTGAAATTTTTAAAAATGAGAAATTCCCAGTGTTGGCAAGGAAACAGAGCAGTGCAGCTCCACATTCAGCTGCCGGGGTGGAAGCAGGGCCATGAGGCCTGTCCTGAGGGGTCTTACCAGTACTCCCCTCTTCCACGTACACCTGAGCAAATGAATAGGAAAAGTACGCTCTCACAAATACTGCTCGCCAATGTCCGCGGCAGCGCCCTGTAAGAGCCAAAGGGTAGAGCAAGTGCTGAGTGGAGAAGCAGAACACATGTGTCAGATCCACTAAGGAAACAGCATTTGACCATGAGGAGGAATGACGGATTGACACACGTAGCCAAACGCAACAAAACTTAAAAATGTGCTTGGTGACAAAGGTGAGAGGCAAGGGTCTGTGTATGGGACGAGTCCAGAACAGGCCGATCCACAGACAGGAAGACACTCGCAGCTACCAGGAGCCGGCTGGGCTGTGTAATGTAAACACGACACAAGCCACGGGCAAGCACACTTTAAAACAGTTTAAAAGGTGAGCTGTATAGTATGTGAGTTTCCATCTCAATTTTTAAAATGTAAAAAAAACCTTCTGAGTGGGAAAGAGCTCTGTGGGGATGGGCCATCCACAGCCTCCTCGCCCAGCCCGGCCTGCAGCCCAGACAGCATGGGCAGCTGGGCTGTGTCATGAGCATCCCCGCCACCCCGACTCCCTACACTGGAGGTGTTTTAAAGGGGTGATGTTTTAAACTAAAAGCAGAGACATCCAAGGATGGAACGCGGGCTCTGTGATGGCTGCAATGGCAGACAGGGTCCTCACACCCACCCCGCCCGCCCCTGGGCTGGGGCAGCAGACCCCACAGCCCAGTCCCAAAGAAATGTGACATTCAAAGCCCTCCGAAATAAAAAGCACTGTGGGAAGGAGGTTCCAGAAATGAACAGCTACATGTTTTTTTTTTTTCCTTTCTTTCTAGTACCAAGGATCAAACTCAGGATCTTGTGCTTGCCTGGCAGGTGCGGCGAGCTACTTTTTCTCTAAAGTGTTTGTGGCGGTAATCTAACCTGCGACTGTGTCTGGTCATTCACACTACGCTGTGGCTGGACGGGGAACCCTTGAACTGTGGGTCCCACCATTCGTGAGCAGCAGTAAGGAACAAGCAAGGCCACACCCTTGGGGCCACTCCACATTAGGCTTCTTCACTAACCACAAACACCTCATTTCACTTGCTTTTTCACAGGGATAGGAAGTCAGTCTATCTTTGCCCTAAAATTTAGATATATCAATTGGACTGGTGTCCTGGACTGTGCCTGGGATTCTCAGTTCCAGTGCTCCAGGAATGTGGTTTCCTTCAAGAAGAATTACTGCTCCATTAATTAATTAATTGCTGTTCACAGTTTTATGGTACTTTGAGGCCCTACTTCTCTCCAATGACCAGGCATCTCTATAATCTTCTGAGGACAGAGCTGTGGGTCAGAAGCCTGGCTCGGAGCGGCTGCTCTAGCCTGTGACTCCATGTGCACAGGCCCTCCCCTCTCTGCCGCCACTGCTTGCAGGGTTCACCTGAGGCTCCCTACAGATGCGATTCCAGCTGAGCTGCACTTTAACTGGAGCTTAGAAATTGGAAGCAAAGTACAATTGCTGACAAAAGGGTATCCAGAGGACCAGAAAGCTCAGGGGAAACCAAAAAGGCAAGCATCGATAAATAAAGCTAAGGGCCCCTTCCAGGGAGAAAGGAAGAAGCCTAATTTGTTTACAGGGAAAACAAGCCCAACATCCACCCGAGACGGAGCCACAGCAGCCAGGTGATTCCAAAAACAGGGAGATCAGCAGGCAGGTATGCATGTGGCAGGTACCAACCGAAGCCGCACCTGGGAACCCTTGGTATGCTGACGGCTTCGACACCCAGGCCCTGCGCGGCGGTGGGATGGGGCCCGGGCACCCTGGACAGCAGAGTGGAGAGGAGGCCAGGCCCAGCCACCCAGCCCTGTGTAGGACGGAGCAGGACAGAGGCAGGCAGGCAGCCTGGGCTGATGGCTGGAAAAGTGCACTGCGCCCGACAAAGCGCACTCTGCTACCCTTTAAGACAGGACCCACTCAGCCCTGCGGTGCCAATGCCGCATGCTGGGATCTGGGATTTCTAGAAAGCACCTGGGCAGGCGTCAGCTGTGCAGACACTGTGCTCTCTCGGCCTGGGTCCAAGCCCGGCCACCAGGACAGGAAAGAGGGCACAGAGCCCGGAGCTCCGGCCTCGCTGTGAGCCTCAGCAGGGCAGCACCTCTCACTCTCCCAGGATGTGGAAGGCCTGTGACCTACTGAGAAGTGGCTTCTGATGCCTGTGCCAGCACACCATGAAACCCAAGACCAGCTCACACTGCTATCTCTGCTCAGTCCCTTCTGCAGATTCGCCATACCTGCCTGGGTCTAAAGTTTTCTCGGT